ATGATATATGACTCTTGTGTTTTTAAGAGATCCGTGTTTTCCCTATAGCTCCAGTTTGTTTATTGTTCATATGAACTTTTGCGGTTGATCACTGGTTGTTATCTCCGTATTTCATGACGTCTCCATTTGAGTGAAAAATTCAATCGGTAATTAAAAATGAAAAAACTTGTTCTGTTTTTAACAGATTATGCGAAATTGATATGCAATGAATTTATAACTGTTGAAAAAAGGGCAACAAACAACTTATGTTTGTGTGCCTTTACATGGATATATGCATTGATTCATTGTTTGAAAAGAAATTCAATTAATACTGAAAGAACAGGAAAAACCAGATTTAATAATATCAGTGTGACTGTGCATTTTTAAAAACGGTTCCTAAATGGAAAATAGATTCAATATGCTTTTAGTAAGCATGCAAAAACAATTGAACATAAACAAAGCTATGGAACGCCGTCACTGCCTTATAGCAGAACACTACTATTGCATTGTGTCAACCTTCCATTACATTATGTCAACTCTTTATGACATTAACCCACACTACTGTTGCATTGTGTCAACCTTCCATTACATTATGTCAACTCTTTATGACATTAATCCACTCTACTATTGCATTGTGTCAACCTTCCATTACATTATGTCAACTCTTTATGACATTAACCCACACTATTATTGCATCGTGTTAACTTTCCTCTACATTATGTCAACTCTTTATGACATTTACACATACTACAATTATATTTCGTCAACTTGCATTTCGTTATGTTTACTTTTCATGAGATCTTAGTTTTTATTAACTGATGTGAAAAGCTCATGCCATACTGTGCGCACTCTTCAACATTATGTCGATTCACTATTACGTTATGCGAACACGGGTATCCTCGGTCTTTATATGAGCATAACGTATTTTCCGCGTTCCGCAAGCACTAAAAATGGCGGGAGAAAAACTGTCGTAGAAGAGATTAATTAAAGTCACGTCGAAATTCAGTGGTGTTTACTTTAATCTCATAATTAAATAAATCAAATATTATGAGTCGTGCAGCAATAATTTTTTTTCTTTTTATTTTGATTCTTTTTTTTTAATAAAAGTCTTAAACTTTGAAGGACATTGCATTAGTTTCACAATAAGCTTAGCTGAATTAAGTTGAAAACTTTTTTTCTATAAAACTATTAAGCCTGAGAGCTTCTCCGCTTTCCGCCCTTGGTCTCCAACCATATACCGTCCCCCTTGTTTCAAGATTCCCATATCTGCCACTGATATGTGCCCATGCATGCTTACTAAGGCATATTCAATTGATTTAGATGAGCGACTGGTAGATTTTTGTAATAGAATTCTGGCCCTGGAATGATTAAAAAAAATTACTAACTCCAGTGACGTACAATCTTTTTTTTGAAAGAGGAGGTCAGCCAGAAAAAAAATCATTAACCCGAAAAAACTTGACAAGCCAAGAAAAAAAAAGTCCAAGCCCGAAAATGCTGTTTCGGGGAGAGGGGTCCAACTTCGATCAGTCCTATTTTTTTCCAGATATATTACAATACCTTTAGTGGATTATACTTCAACAAAAAGTGGGGGTGGGGGCTGTACCGTTTCAATGAACATTACACTTTCTATAGTAAAGTTATGTCTGGGAAAAGAGAGGGGGGATGATATTATGTGCCTGTAACTTGTCCTAATCATTCAGGACCCCCCCCCCCCCCACCTTCTTACTCATTAAATCACGGTCGTCAACATTCATTATATATTAGATATACAGCTTTTAGATAATGTAAATGTTTTTTAACATCAGGTAATGAACTTTTGGAATCAACACCATAAAGAGTTAACACAATATAAAGATATTTTTAAATCACATAAGAAAGAGTTGACATAACGTAATTATATATCCACATCACGGAATGGAGTTTTGACATAATGTAATGAAGTATTGATATAATATAAAGATATGTTCACATTATGTTATACACTTTTTACACCACATAATAAAGCACTGACATAAAGGTAAGATGTGTTCACCTCATATCATGATGCCCTCGCCGTAAAATAAAGATAAATCCATATCACGTAATAATGCTTTGATATAATAGAAATATACATTCTCAAAAAGGAATGGGCTTTTGACTTCGTGTAATGATAAGTTTAATTATAAAACACAATTTACTTGACGTAATGCAGTTTTGACCTCATATTTTAAAGAAATGAAATGATGTAAAGAAAAATTCATTTCATGCAAGAAAGTTTTAACACAATGGAAACACATTATCACTTCATATAATGAATTTTTTACTTCAAGTTATGAAGTGCTGACATAATGAAAGGATGTATTTACTTCATGTAATGCAGCATTGACATGATGTTAAGATATATTTACATCATCTCATAAAAAATGGACATAACGTAAAGATGTGTTCACATCATGTAATGATAAATTGACATAATAAATGCATAGTTGTATGCTATAAGGCAGTGATGGCGTTCCATACAAAGCCGATGAAATCGTTTCTATTAGAAGTTTGCACTGTATAAAGTAAGAAGAGATAAAATCTAATTTCTCATTCTTGTACCATTTCAACATTGTTGAAAGAATTTCTAAACAAAGGATTGCTCATCCTCGGTTTGTTTTGAATGTAGATCATTGTCAGATAATGCAGTATTATTTTTTATGTACAATACACCGGAATAAAAGGGATGTTGACGAAGGTCTCTTAAAACAAAATTCGGTTTGTTTAAGGTACAATATGTGACACAAATACAGGTTAATCTTTTCTATGTTTAAATTTAAAACCAGGGTTAAGGATTCAAATTTATCACAAAGCATTTAGAAAATATATAAAGTACGAATATAATAAACTTTGTCACTAAAAATTTCATAAAGAATAAATTAAAAAAACCCGCAGAGTTGAGTCCTAAGAATGAAATTTGTCAACAGCAAATAAATGAGCTTGTATCTCCAATTTCTTTTTGTTATTGAAAAACAAAAATGAATTTTATTATTTATTTATTAACAATACGTAATAAATAACAATTTCATTTTATTTTCTTCAATAGTGAATGGAATTCAAATACATCTCGTTAAATGATGATGTTAGAATTACAAAATGAGTCTGAAATTCACTCAAAAGTATTTTTCAATAACTTCATTATGCTTTAAAGCAAAGGATCATAAACAATATGAATATATACGGGAATACCCACTTTATAGGTATTTCCTATAATATAAATATAGAAGCATTATGAATGATCAGGGATCCAATTTATGACATATTCTCACAGACGCTTAAATGCCCCTTAAAACTGAGAAATGAGAATTATGAGACTTAAATAACAGTCATCATTTCCATCGGATAACAATTGCGTTGTTCTTCCAATAGGACATGTAATCGGCAAGATTATAAAACAAATTTATTTTATATTTAATACTTAAAAAATATATATATATAAAGAATGATGTATTTTTTTTTCGATATTTTACGAACCGTTTAAGCAGAATTTGTAGCGATATTCAATTTTTGCATTATTAGCGAGGGTTTTAAGATTGATAAAATTGAATATATCTAAAATCTAATTTTGCGTTGGTTGTTACATGTATAACTATCTCTCTTGACATTATAAAATCGCTTAAAATTACTTTTTGCTAAAATAATTTTAAATACTATTTTTGGGGGGATAAATCGCAAAATTTGGGTTTGGAAGACTAAGCTTTTGGCTTAATATTAAGAAATTATGAAAAAAGCCTTGTCACAAGATTAAATTTAACAAAACGTCAAAACCCAAGGACGCGTTGTTAATTTAATTTAATTTTTGTTTGTTTGTTTGTTTGTTTGTTTTTGTTTTTGTTTTTTTTTGTTTAACGTCCTTTTGAGAATTTTCTGCTCACATACTAGATTTAGTGAAAGACCTAAAACTTAGATAAACATAAGCCAAATATAAAAAAAAATTATATTTGGCTGTGTATTCTATTTAACGCCTTTCGCGGAAAGCATCTTTCGCTAAATCAATGTCTTGTCCACAGATACAAAATACAAGTTGCTGTCCTTTAAAAAAGGACTGCAATACGTCGACCATATGCATGTTTCTTCTAACTGAAATTCAATTAAGGAAATTTCTAAGTGTAGGGAATATTCATGTAGGTTTGTTCACTTATTCTATAAAAATCTGCCTACTTATAACTGATTGTAGTCTCAAAGCACAATTGTGAAATTTTATCTCCGATTAGGGACCTTTAGTTTTGTCAGTTAAAAAAAATCGGGTTATTTTGACACGTGTAACTCATACTGGCTAGGACTTGAGACCTGTTCTGGATTTATACGGAAGAAATTTATCATGGGGAAAAATAGAGATGTGATGATTCAGGAGTAGCACAGTTCTGTATTACGCAGATTTTTTTTTGTCGGTGCCCCCCCCCCCCCCTCCCCCCCACACACACATTAACAAGCCGTTGCTACAGACCTTTATCAAACGATATTTAGATTGCCGAAATTAAGCTATCTCTGTGCGTTGAGTGACGTTTTTCATTCATGTATCTAAATACTGTAACTTCTTAAAATGCTTGTACCATAGAATCAATGTTTAGAATAAAAGTATATGTAAAAAAACAATATGTTCCCAAACTCCGTTTGGGGAACATAAAGAGAGAAAATCGGATCTGCCAATGCATATGTAAATGCGAAATGCAGATTTAAAAGCGCGATTTGCCAATGAATGGCATATTCTAATTCGAATAGGGCGAATTATTCTACGGGCAAGTTACCTAAGGTGCGAACTTTCTAGCATTCTCGCGCATGCGTAGCCTGTCGTTTGCCCAGGGCATCCTGTCTAGCCTCGCTTATATATTTACTGCGTGGACCTCAGGGTAGGTTTACAAAATGCATTAATTTAACAATTACAACAGTTACAAGTGTTGAGAGTATTACAGAGATGAGTTCACGAACCTGTAACCGTAATGAAACGATATTTAAACAATATGAATTAAAGGTCTTTAAAAAATTGTTAGGAGATTACTTACTTTTTCCAACACCCAGCACTTCTGCTGCAGCAGTGACGTCAAACATGACGTACACTTTCATCCGATAGAAGTCAAAACCGGTCCGGGAAAAATACGGATTTTTTTTTATTTTACTCAAGTAATAAACCCAAACCCAAAAGATTTGAAATAAAAAGCAAATTAATTTATTCATTATCAATTTTGTCTGGGATATGCATTATTACAGAAAAAGAAAATTGTGAAAGGTTTTTTTTTTATAAGGGAAAGGGGGGGGGGGGATAAACAGAGTAGAACTTAATTAACATAAGTCTAACAAATTCTTTTGAAATTGATGTACATTTAAATTACTATTGAGATATATTATTGAAATTGCAATTTTACTTGAGTATACCAAGGGCAAATTAGTGAATACTGTTTCATATGATTCTCATATGATCACTGTGTCATATGATTCTCATATGATCACTGTCAAAATATTCATATGATTTTTACTTGAGTATAACAAGGGAAAATTAGTGAATATGGTTTCATATGATTCTCATATGATCAGTTTCATATGATTCTCATATGACCACTCCAAAATATACATATGATTCTCATATGTAGGACATTTCATATGAGAATCATATGTATTTTACTTCATATGATTAACATATGTATGATCATATGATTCTCATATAATTTGCCACATATGATTCTCATATGATTGTATACACATATGATTCTCATATGATCCACATATGATCCACATATGAAAGGCAATGCATATGTGGATCATATGTGGCTAAATTGCCTATGTACATGTACACGTATCTAATATTGATCAAACAGATATTTCTTTGAATCATAGTAAAAGTTCGTGGACAAAAATTCAGCATACATTACAAGGAGTTTTGAAGAGACATCAAATGATAAATATCGGTATGTTTTTTAAGAAAGGTTACCAAAATTTTAATCATATATATTTTTTCTTCAAAATTTGATTTAGAAATGTTCTAATTTATCATAAAAATTAATATTAGTTCAACAGAAGTCTTTTTAAATACTTGAAATGTTTATGCAATGCAGAGAATATGTAAATTAAACTCAAAACTCCATCATTCAGGCGAAAATTAAAATATACAAGCAGTTATTTATCCAAAGGTTATTAAACTCTCCCACCGGAAAAGCGGTTAAAGAGGTTCATCTTATCTTTAAATTCAGCAATATTTTGGAATTCGTATCTGCGGTAGGTGTTTGGTATCTAAAGATGTACTGTAAGTGGTCTCATAATCGGATGAAAGATAGAAACGTTCTGAATGACATAAATTGTTTCTAAATAACCCCAATTTATGAATGACATATAACTTATTTAAACCTTCTCAAATTTATGATCAGTTATTGGTTTAGAAAATGAATTTAGGAAGGCTAGTAAATATATTTTCACATTGATAACATTAATTTCAATATTAACAATAAGACTTCGAAGTATAGGATAGAATAAAGCCCAAGAAAAAGTCTTATCTTTTACTGGAAAATAATGAAGTTCAATGTCATAATTTTAAGATCGAATTAAAATAACTCAAAAACCTAACAAGCAAACAGAAATGGCTACCTCTTTTATGGACCCAAGTACACGGTTCTCATATCTGAAAAAAAAAACCAAAGGAAACCCAAAATTATAATACACTGTAATTTTTCTTAGTTTTGTCTATAAAATCATAGAAAAAAGTCTTTTTAAGTATATGTTACGAATATATATATATATATATATATATATATATATATATATATATATATATATATATATATATATATATATATATATATATATATATATATAATTATCTTAATCTTTTAATCTGGTTTTTATTTCAACCTAGTGATTCTACTATAAATAAATTTGTGGAAAAAAAATTATGTCAAATCGAGAGAAAGGCTTGGTCATAAGATTTATATTCTGGGACAGAATAATAACGCATTTTTATTGGTATAAATTTACTTCCTCCTATGTTGTGAATTGCTCTTCTGTGAAATTATTTTTAAAGGTTAGACACTTGTCGGTGCATGTATATGCACTGAAAATGTTCTTTCAGGAAGAAGTCAGTATGTATACATGTTAGGCATTCCACAGATACAAAGATATCAAATGATAACTAGTCCTTCAGTTTTAAAATCAGGTTTAAATTTTAAAGTTCTTTTGTTGGTATTTAAAAGGAAATGCTGATGATATATATTTTTTAAATTTTTGTATGATCTTTAGATGAAAATACATTGTGAATGCCTTGAACATAAATTACAATTAAAAGGACGGGCTTTTAAACGCCACATGACCTAAAATTCAATGAACTATCATTAAAAAATAAAAATATCTACACGTAAGTTTCCTGTCTTCTATTTTCCATATTCATTGAAGCAAATATATTTTAGAATATCATTTTTTGTATGTAAAGAGTGTTTTGTAGAGGAACTGTCATTACCATCAATATTTCCGATTCACTTTGAGATGCCATCTTCGAAGCCCAAATAAACGGTACGATTTTCTAAAATGTATTTACTTTTATCTAAAGTGTCGGTTTTTACACCGTGATATTAATTTTGATTTTGAGTGATTTTTGAAGAACAAAAACTATAACAAAGAGATGAAGGAACGAATAATAAAATAGTTTTAGCTGTGTGGTTCACATTTGATATTGGTTTAAGACTTGTGAATTCATGTACGTAAACATAGCTAAAAAAATAAAAAATTTTCAGATATTAAGGGGACGAAGGATATAATGGTCACGTGACTCAGTTTAATTACGTCATAATCTCTGATAACATATGTACAAAACCAGATTGAAACCACAGTATTTGGAAGGAAAAAATGACTGTTTGTTGAGTTCACCATCTTGTATAAAAATATCTAAAAACATTCAAATTTTCTCGCAAATATTTTCAAATTACGGAATAGATTGATCCACTCTTCTGTTTCCCTACACTGCGCGTCCAACGACAAGCTCCAAACAGCTCAGTATTACGTTACGCTACAACTCCATATCAACCGTTATTCGTAGGGCACGAAAGTAGTCCCGGAGAATCGACACTGTATGGAGTTTGGTCCAACGAGTCGCTGACGTCATAGTGGATCTTAGTACAGTAAGATTATATACAAGGTAAAACACGGGTAGTGTAATATCATAAAAACGGGTCATGATCAGTACATGATGGGATATTTTATTAATTACAGAACACAAAAAATATTTTTTACATGGCTGTTGACGAAATATATTGTAGTTATGTCTTACTTAGCTTATTTCGAAAATTTTGTGACGTCATAGTAGGGTTTTCCCGTACTCGAGAAATAAACATGAAACGTTTTTATCATGCTCATGTCGTGTTTAACTATGCCCTGTGCAATATTGAGCTCAGTTTCACCAATCGATATTTTTGCAGTTAATCAATAACATGACGAACTTGAATTTCGACGTAATTTTTCAAATATTGAATGATAGGATTTTTTGTAAATTAATTTTTTTGTCGTTTAGATTGTCTTAAAAAGAACGTAATTTTCCGTCTCCAGATGCGGTGTGACAAAAGAATCTTGCTTTTTCGAATTTTTAACCCTATTCATACTCTGAAATATTTTAGAAGACGAATGTTCGCTGACATATTTTTTATCTATGCTGAAAAAATTCCATTATGGACCGAGTAATGGACCCAGAATACGGAGAATCAAAACTTCACTCAGACACTGTGGGGCATAGTATTTGTCACGCAATATCTCAGAAATAAATCTAGAAACCTATTGATATATCTACTTTAAGGCATGTGGGACATACTAAATAAGAGATATACAAAATATGAAAAAAAATTGAATGACAGGTATTTTTTCAGGTAAAGGTCCTTCATCCCCTTAATTGGTCGATCATGAACATTCAACTTTTTGCTCTGTTTATCTTCGTTGGCGTTTTTCGATGTCAAAGAATCGCCATGCTTCAAGGAGATATACATCTTGGAGGGTTGTTCCAAATATTTAGTGACGGGGAATGTAAGAATGATATACAACCAATGTCTGTTCGAAACTTCGAGGCTGTGAAATGGACACTTAACAAGCTAAATCAGAATCAATATATTCCAGGAATAAAGCTTGGTAAGTACATGTCATAAAATATATGGAGATATCTAGGAGTACTCGAGCTCAAATGCGCATTAAACATAAAATAGGAGCGGAGCAAACACGGACCTCCAAAACATCAAAAGTAAGATCAGGAGCATTGGAGGGATGAGCATCCCCTGTCGACCAGTCAAAAAAGTTAAATGACTGAGTCATCAAGAGAAAAATAAATCAGATTCAAAAGATTCCAAGCTCTTTGTACCACAGTAGATTATTACATTAAGAATGAGGAATGAAAATGAGAATCATAATAATAATAGAATAACACTATTTGTTTTTATTTCTTCATAGGGATAGAAGTGTTTCCAACATGCAATATTCAGGGAAGAGCTTTGGAATACGCAAGTAGAATAATCAACAGGAGGTTTACGGAACAAAAAGATGAAAGTGTGGCGCCTATCATAGGTAAACATTAAAAAATATTCAATCAAACAGGAAGTCCTGAGTTTATTTAAGAAATAAACAGCAATGTTAAAAAGTTCTCTGGGAAATGAACTTTTAGTTGGTCACGAGATCAAATCACGTGAAGCCCGAAGGGCTTCTCAGTAGATTCGATCACGTACCAACTAAAATATCATTTCGTGAAATATGGAGTGAAAAATTCTCGAAAGAGAGGATAAGGCCATCTTAAAAATAATGTTTGCTTGCCCTCTCCTGACTCAGGGTAAAATTATTGAGTCGGTAGGTAGGTGGAAAAATCTTTTTTTTTTCCAGAAAATTTCAACATATTTGTTGACGAGATGTGGAAAAAAATATATAAAAAAATATGTCATGTCCTGATACGTAAAAAAAAGTTTTGAGTCGGGCTATTTTAGCTGGTCGGGAGAGGGCAACCAAACAATTTCGTAAAGAATTAGATGGCCTAAACAAATACAAACAATTTTCCTGGTCATCGCGAGCATATTAGTACTCTTTGGAAAGTTTAAGTTGCATTTAATAAATATATA